CCAGTTTTGTCTGCTGATCTCAAATATATTATTATGTTTGCTAGAAAATATATGGGAAGTGAGAAAGGTGCAAAATAAGTGAAGTAACGAAGGTTTTATGTACTGCCCGTATATATACGGGTCCCGTCACCAAAGGGTTAATAAGATAGATTTTTCTTAAATAACTTTTATTTCTGATTGAGACCGTAAATAATTTATTGTTAGTTTAGTTAATTCTAATTTATTAAAAATTTTGTCTTCCTTTATATTTTCTTTGATTTGTTCTTTCTCTAAATGTTTAATTATCTTTTGATGATGATTTATGATCTTTAACGGTTGACAACCAACTTTTAGATTTCTTTGTAACATAACTATTATCTGAATGGTTAGACAATTGAATTTTGTGTGAACCTAAAACTTGATCAGTCTCCGAATTCAACATTTTATTATATACAATTTCTCTAGCATTATTCTTATAATTTAAACAAGTTATAAATTCTTTTAATTGAATTATTTGTCTTTGATATTCATATCTTAGAAATGTTGAGAGCAATCATTGTCATTCAAATTCACTAATACTAATACAGCTAAAAACTCCCTGTAAAAAGTTCTAAGCTAAGAAAATTTTAAGGATTAAAATGGAAAAATAGTAATGCCGACCTTTTCTTTCGGAATTATAATATCTCTAAATTTGGCTTACATCTCTATAGCATAGACAATTTTGCACACAATAAATATTTCAGAAATTTATGAGATTCCTTGGAGTAGTCGGAAGACATTAACTGCTCAACTATAAGACGCCTTTTCCTTTCTGCGACATATGTTTCTAGCTAAATCGAGTATATGATAGAATCCCAAAATCCTATTTTATCAAAACTTATATATCGTCCGATTCATTAAGCCCTCCACACCCCTCCTCCCGTCAAAAATCTATTTTTTTCCCAGAGCACTCAATCTTAGTGAAATTTTTACTCAATATGTACCTGACCTTGGATAGTTTTCAGTAAAAAACTGAGCTCAAAATATTGAGTTTTGCGAGACTTATCCTAATATTAAGGGTCAAAAAGTAGGTGTTTGTGTGTCAAAGATTTTTTTCGCAATTTTAATGATACGGACCTCGGGATGATGTCAAAATGCAGGGAAGACTTGCCTCTACAGCCTAACAAAGCCAGTTTTTTTTTTAAAATTTGAAAATTTGTTTTTGGGAAGGTTTTTTAAAAAACTTGACTTTTACTTTTTAGAAAACTTGATTTTTTTGTAAAAAACTACATTGAAAACAAAAATTCTGGCTTTCTTAGGTTGTAGCGCTGAGCTTCAGCTTCATTTTAAAACATTCCCGAGCTTTCTAGCATTTAAAATGGCGGAGAAATCTTTGACGCACAATCAGGTAAAACAAAAAAAACAGTTTCCAGAAAAACGCAAAACAAGTTTCTCCTTTGATTATCGCGGTTTTTGCGGAAAGTGGTATTTTTAGAAGGGACTCCTAATAGGTCCCACTATTTTTCAAGGATTTCACGTACAAAAAATTTTGTAACAACTTTTAGGGTTTTCCAGAGCTTTTCGATGGGATTTCAAAGGGATTTCGAGATTCTCATGCTGATATGTAAAATTTAAATGAGGTTTTACCTTAAAATCTTGAAAATTTAACAGTTTTTACTTTAGAAATACTAATAAAACTTTCCGAAAATTTCAAAATTTTTTTCAAATAAGGGGGGCTTCTAATAAGGGAGACCTTTTAATAGTGGATGGGCTTCTATTATGGGAGGGAGTTTACCATTTGATCATCTATTTTAGCATCTGACTAAGGTCCGAGAAAGATCTTAAAAAACAATGCTTTGGTCACGCTGAACTTATGGGAGCTAGCCGGAGACTAGTGACACATTCTGTTGATTCTTTTACTTCATTCTGCGTACCTCTGCAGTAGGCAGAAAGAATATTAACAACAAATATTCCCCTCTGTTATAAAAATCTTTCATACGAATGATTGAGCAATTATTTATTTCTTGATTAGTCAGAAATATGTCACGTAAATAAATAAGTTTGTCATGGAGTACTTAGTCTGTTGTACCTGATACATTCAAGTATAACACTCACTCTTGCGAAAGGAGATAGAAAGAAAATTTTTCTTTGTGCTCGATGAAAACATGCATAAAATTACTATAAGTTCAAAATACTAATTGATACTCTCGTTTGCTATTACTTATTCAGTTGATTTGCTTTCTTATAGTTTATCAACAGAGCAAGCACTCCATTACAAATTTGTTTATTAACCTGAAATATTCCTGATTAATCAAGAAACGAAATAATTGTTAAGTCATTCGTATGAAATGCTAATCTCGCTAAACAGAAAAAGCTGTGAAGCAAAGTAACCAAACAATATCGCATGGATGCAAACATTATTTGCAGAATAGAAAATTAACTGTTATTTGCATTAATAACAAATCCGTGGAACTTTAGTGTATACACCTGTAGTGGTACATGTTGGAAACATACAAAGTCTAAAGCAACTATGAAGCGGACATGCTAAAGGCTGTAGACAATAGCCATGCACACGAACAGCTGTATCGTTGTTGTCAGTAAAATACAAAATAAATGTTATCAAACAAAGTCTGAACAGTTTTGGTATATATCTAAATAGGTTCTGTATCCCTCCGAAACCTCCTTGCTTTTCCCAAATTAAATACGAACTTTGCCTGGTTTCCCATGTTGAACACAAAACTTTTTTAACCAAAACACAGTCAGATATTTAGAAAATACGCGCAAAACTATTGAAAGTTCAGAAAAAACCCACGAAACCTTTAAAGTGTGGTATGGAATCTTTTCTTTACAGAGCACTTCATGACTTGTCTATCTGCCTGAAATCTTATTACGGACGGTTCTATCTGATGAATCGAAGAACAACAGTAAGTGGTTTAGAGTAATGACATTTCGTATTATCAGAGTAAAAGGAGCAGAAGAGACAAACTGAACAATGTCGTAATACAATGAAAGAAAAGAACAATAATGCACAGGAAAAAGAAAAATAATAAAACCCGAGTAAAGAAGAATAAGGTTACAGGAATAACTGTGTATGTAAGGTGTTGCTAATTCAAAATTCGAGCAAAATTTATTTTAGTTTCATCATACATGGTTGGATAGAGCTCGTTGAGTTCAGCAAGAAAAAGTGGTTTCTAATTTTCTTAAAGATTCTTTTAGGGATAAAAAATTGAATAAATTCGACGGATCTAAAACTGAATGATAATTGATTGATATATGTTTCGAATTTTTTTGTTAATTTAATAAAATAAGTAAAATCTCAGAAATTTTTCGTGGTGTAAAGCCGAAATAAACAAACATAGCGGGGTAGGATTAAAAAATACATCATTCGACTCACGAGGAAACCACTCCAACTGTCCGATCGCCTTTTTCACGAAACCTAGTGGACATTAGGTAATCGAGCGTGCTGAATCCGAATATCATAGTGCTTTGGGCGTCTAGACCTCCAGAGATCGGTTATCTGGAAAACCAGTTTTTCGGAAACTCTAAAAGTAACCTTTCTTAATGAGGTATAGTTGTAGCCCCCACATTTCTGATTATCTCCCAGCTCTACACGACCTTTCTTTGCAAAGTCAGAGAATTTACAAGAAAAGCTCTAAATTAATTTCTTCTTGTTTCTGTAGCTTTGAGCTGATAATGAACATTTCGGGCTCTTCTTATAAATTCTTTAACTTTACAAAGAAAGGTCGTGTAGAGCCGGGAGGTGTCCCGCTTTACTCAGAAATGTGTGGGCTACAATCAGGGCTCATTAAGAAAAGTTTTGGTTATCTTTTAGAGTTTCTGAAAAGCGGGTTTTCCTGATAATCGGTCTGTGGAGGTCGAGATGCCCAAACCTCTATGATATGCGGATTCAGCAGACGCGAGTACCTATTGTTCACTAGGTTTCGCGAAAAATGCGATAGGACAGTTGGAGTGGTTTCCTCGTCAGTTTGTGATGGTGACTCCGAATATGTTATTTTTATTGTATAAAAAGTGAGTTCTGGAAGAGGAAATAGACAATTACAGACAGAATTGTAATTTTTTTCGCCTCCGATTTCGAAAAAATGAATTTTCTTAGTAATAAAGCAAAATAAAAGAAAGCGATTCGTACTTTTAAAGCACGTTTAATGATGGAACTAATAAAATAAAAAATAAGCTTCATCTCTTCGCAGAAAAACTAGATAGGTTTGCAAAATTGTTTATGAACGTTTTACAGCCCGAGTCCAATACATCCATACTAAGTAGACCTTGACTGCAGCCTCGATCAAGAATAATTCTTATACTCAGTTTTTGATGCTGAATCCGAAAAAAATACTTTTGAAACGTTAGAAGAGCGAAAAAGAAAAGAAATTTGGATTTTGGACCTACCAATTTTTTCTTCCTTTGAAAGAATTTCTTAAAAATAAAAAAACCATTTTTTCTTACTCACCTCGACAAACTCTATCCAACGATGTATAATAAAACAAAAAATTAATTTTGCTCGAATTCTGAATTAGTGGCACCTTGTTTAAAAAAACAAACGAAATAAATATGCTGTAAACTCAGATATATAAATAATTGCGAGCAGAATCAATCTGCATTTGTTGTATTTTTAAAATATGAGGATGAGAGTTTAATTAATTTAATATCAACATTTTCATTTAAATTATCACCAGAACATTGTATATCACCGTGTTTGCCTGTTAAGAACAGTTATCATGTCAATTCTCTAATGAAACAGAACAGTCTAGCTTATAATAAAACGTTTTGTTTTTTAGTAATATACTCTCGATAATGTCCAAAACTTTTCAAAGTATTACAGTAGATCGTCTAGTGAGATTCTAGGATAGAGTTCGATTTGTTATTATAGTAAATATCAGTTTGTAACTGGTGTTCTTTTGTTTGGATATCAGTCAGTGACATTGTACATATATAATTTGAGAGTAAAATATATTATAGTTGAGATTTTTTTGTTATAACTTATCTTAGATATAAAAATAAATAAAAATGTTTTAGAATAAAATAAGTTAATTTAATTGTAGTACTGATTGCATTAATGGTGTTATACTATTGAGATTCAATTGTCGTTTTAGACATGAAGCAGTTTCATTTGACACTTCTTGAATACGCAAACATCGTGTTACTAACATTGTAAACGTTGATATAGCTTCAAATTCACCAAATGTATATTCCATATAATTCCATAAGAGTTTTGCATAAAAATTTTGAGCTTCATATATTTGTGACATATTTTGAATACAATTTGTTTCTATTTGACTTGTGGTTGTTAACAAACATCCACTAAATAATACAATAATTAACATTAATTTAATAATTACTGGATCATGTTGAAATAAACTAATCATATGTATATTTTCTCGCATTTTTCGATATAACTCTTCTCCATGTATTGATATCATAAAACTGGTATGATCAGCATTACATGGTGGTAATACGGGTGCTAATATACGTTTAATTAGAACTATATTTATCGGTACTAATGTAAAAAAATTATATTTAAATAATAGAATTTGATCATTAGCATTTAATTGTTGAAATTCTGGAATATGTTTAAAATAAGATGATAATTGTTGTACCCAAACAGTTTTATTATTGACAAAATCATTTACAGTTGTTGTTTTTATTGAATGACGATTAAATACAATAGGTTTTACATTTTGTTCGTGTGATATGATAATATTATTTAAATGACGCCAATCATCTTGTGTTAAATTTGATTTATCATTTGAAAGTAAACTAAGTGTATGAATCTCGAAAAATAAATAATAAATAAATAAATTCAATATTTATATAAGAATATAAATTACTTACAATTTTCCCATTATTATTATGTTTCATTTCTTTTAATTGTCGATTTTTTTCTGATTGATATTTTCTTCTATTTTTCTCTTCCTCACTTTGAATCCATTCTTTTCTCATTCCAACTGTAAAACATTTTTGAAGACGACAATATGTACAATGTCGGCGACTAGTAATTGTCACTTCACAATGACCAGTAAAACGGCACCTTAAACCAGGCTAAAAATAAAAACAAAACTCTGCAATAAAGAAATTATTCAATGTCATCGATAATGTTATTAAGGATATCCCGCCACCTTTTTTTTGTAAAAATTTCGGATTTTGAGCTGAGCATAGCCTAGTGTAGAGAAAACTGTGGATCACAAAATAAGACCACTACCACTACTCTACGACCTTTTTTCAAAAAGTTATGGATTTTTGAAGTTTTTCCTTCACAACCTAAAAAAGCTCAAGTTTTAGTTTCATAAGCTTTTCTCCTATTTTCTGTACATGGAAAATTTTTCTTACACATAGTCTGATAGAAGAAAGTGTTTTCTTCACAATAAGCCGTCACAGAATTTTCTGATGAGTTTTCACAGAGATATAAGCATCGCGGCAAAAGCTATGAAAAAAGGAGGAAGGTGTAATGGTGCTAATTTTGAATGGTGTAGATGTTATGGTGGTAAACGGCAATTTAGACTTTCTTCTAGAAATAGTCAGACTATCTGGAGGGAGCGGCAGTGTGAGAGTGAGTCACTATACAAGAAGTTCAAGTTGAGGAAGGGCAATGAATGTTAAATGATAGGTAGCACATCCTAATAGTCTAAAAGTTCAAAACCATCGATTACCACCATAACATCTATAACATCCAAAAGTGCTCAACTTGGACTTTGAGTATGGGATGACTCCTCCTCAAACTGCTTAGTTCAAACTTTTACCGGAGATACTCAAGACTATTCCAGAGGTACTTTTTTGAAATTTTATTTTAAACTTTTCTTTACTAACTTATAGGATTTCTAAAATTGAAAAACGTCTCAAAAACCAAGTTTGAAAAAACTTGAATTGAAAAACTTGGTTTTTGAGACGTTTTTCAGTATTTTTCCTATAACTCGACCAGGAAAGGTCTCAAAAAAATTTCTCAGAAAATTCCCTCGGCGGAACGACCTTGAGTACCTCGGGTAAAATTTTGAACTCGATCAGATGAAATTTAAGATGGGTCGTAATGTGGAACAATGGAAAACCGAGTTTTCTAGAAAACTGGTGGATGCCAATAGTTGAAACTTGAAACAAAAACGAAAAAGTGTTCCATTGAGTTTCCAATCAGTTCTGAAAATACGAAGCCCTGGCGACTTTTAGTTTTTATTACACAGCATTTATACGGAAAGCCCAAAAAGAGGGAAGGGTACCCTTAATAGCATACTCTCTATCCATATGGAGTCGAAATAGATTTGGCGGGAGTTTTTTGCAGACGAGATGAAGAAAATCTTTTTTGCAACTTACTTATAAGCATAAGGACATGCCTAATCCGAAAATATCTCTGCTCAGGTCTTTTCCGTTACTGACGAGGGAAGGTCACCAACTGCCACCTCGCTTTTTAGCTCTAAGCTAGTGGGTAATAGGTAAAAAAATGTGCTGAATCCGAATATGACAATGGTTTGGGCCGCTAGGCCTCCAAAGACTGGATT